TATGCGAATCATTAGTCGTTTGAACCAAACCTATAGGGGTGGTGGTGGTATGTAGTTGTGCTTAATATACTATCTACGCCTAAAATCACATGTGGATCCCGGCCAGTTAGTTAGTGAAAGGTCAACTTGGATGAAAAATTATTTCAGCCTTTCTTTGCAATACAATAATTGCATTAAAATTATTATTATATTTAATATAACTTTCACTTGCCATATGCAGAGGACAACTGTTCTGTCTCTGGGTTTTACTGATGTGTATGTTAGTGGTGTACATTAGAAGTTCCATTAGACAGATACTAATTTAAACTGTGGTACATTTAAAAAACTTAAAAAGGTCCCCACTCCAATAATTTTGTACCCTAAGTCCCTAACAGTGAAATTAAAGTGTTTATTTTATCAGGAGATATTGAAATGTAAAGTTGTGTATCGTATATATAGCTAAGACAACTGATAACTTGTTTCCTGACTATTTTACTCCTAAAATAATCATACAGTACTGTGCTTGTATTTACTTCTACATAGTCAGTTCAGTGGTACAATGATGTTTTTTTATTTTTTATTTCATGAGATATTTTTATAGCATCTTTATTTCTAGATGTATTATCCGAGTTATTTTATATAAGAGTTTTAAACTGAGATCATGCTCATCAGCCACACAGATAATTTGCACAACACCATCAGTTCAAATACTATCGTCAAGTGATGCAGTAAAAAAAAACAAATATATTAGAAGAACCTGCCAGCATATGCATCTGAATGAAACTTGAGGAGGAGGAGGAGGGTGCTGATGAAGATGGCTCACATTGCAATCTTCCACAGAGGTTTTGTTGACTGTTGTGTAGGGGAGAGCTCATCAGTGTGAAGGAGAGAAATGTGAATACGCTGAGACGAGGGGCACTGCAGTGTATCTGCTCATTAGGCGGGCGACGCTGTAATTCAGAGAGCGAGCAGCTCTGCAATCAGGGGCCTATTCATTAGCATGGGGGGCCCGCTTTCATCTGTAACCACTTGAAGATGCCAATCATCAAGGCGGACGCATGACATGATGACAAAACGGGGGCGGCTTAAATGCTCAGGGATACTTGTGTGTGCACAGAGACATGCCTAAACGCTGCTATAAGCGCTTGTATCTGAGAGGGACTTTAATGAGGAAGAAATGTGCGTTTTTACAGTGTAGTGCTGGCAGGTGGCCCAAAATGTGCAGGCTGATAATCATCTCTCTGCTCAGCATGAAGACAGCTTTTGTTCTCAGATTTCCCAAGGAGGAGCATCATTTTTTCCCTGAACAGGTTTCTTCCTGGATTGAAATTGATTGAAAGTGACTGACTGGAGGAAAAAAAGTTTGATTTGAAGGTAAAGTTTTGGACAGAATGAGAGTACTCCACTGGTCGTCTTTTACGTCCTCTGATACCTCCCTCACGCACACACAGAGATATACATCACAGTCCCACACAAAGACATGCATGTACCTAAAAATCAGACAATGATGCAGACATACACTCTCACACACACCTGGTCCAGTCAACTTTAATTAAATCTCTGAGCCATAGAAGGGAACCATTGTGTGTATGTTTTTATCTGCTGTGGTCCTGCTGTCTGTGTGAAGGCAGTGCAGGGTCAAGTTTCTGATGTTGCTGCTCCTGCTCAAGCAACAGGAGACACACTGCTGTCACTTGAAACAGTATAGCACACTTTCTGCATTTTCACTCAAATTAGGCGCTTGTGTTCACCCACTTTAATTCCACCAAGAAAACCTGTTCAAAACTAATCAAACATTTGACAAAATACATAATCAGCGAGCAAAACAATCAGGGATTTCCCCCCAAAATACTTTTGTTTTACTTTTTTGCTGAGAGTTAGATAAGGAGATCATACCACTCTCATGTCTGTCCGTTATATATAAGATACAGCCAGCAGCAGTTGTTGGCTTAGTTTGAAGTTCAGAAACTGCTAGCCTGGCTCTGTCTGAATATAGAAAAACTCGCTAAAGCTCACTAATTAACATGCCATATCTTGCTTGTTTAATCTGTAAACAAACCAAAGTGTAAACATGACAATTTGTGGTTTTACAGGGATTTTGTTATATCTGAACAGGACCACACAAACTATTTCCCCCTGTTTCATTTCTTTATGCTAAGCTAAACTGTTATCAGTCTTCTACTGTTTTCTAATTCCTTTAAATTTGAGTGTTTGCAGGATTATTATTTTGAAAATAACTGACCTGAGACCAGTCTTCACCTCCAATTTTCAACTCTTTTGGCATAGTGTAATTTATCTGTGTTGCATATGTGTTTTGGTAATGGTTTATGTCTTGCAAAGTGATTGAAAAAAGAATCAAACGCACTACAAACATGTTCTGTGGAGAAGTATCCTTTCAAGTAGTTCTGAAAAACAGAAAATGAAAATGCAACTACTGTGTTTTGATAATTGATTAACTTTTTTCAAGTAAAATGCTGAAAAAATAATCTATTTAGTAAGTGTGAAATAGTACATTTTATCTTTTTCAGTTTTGGATGTTGGTTGGACAAATTAAAACAAAAAACAATCTAAGGGCATCACCTTGAGCTTTAGAAAATTCGAATGTGCTTTTTTCCTTAACTTTAAACAGAGCAATTTTGAGTTACATTAAGTTTTATATTCTTGCTGATCCAGGAAGAGTTAATGTGTTGGTCAAGTTTAGGGAAACGCTCTACAGATGCTGTGCTGGACGAAGCTGGGGATCTGGACTTTTTAACATTGATTTATTTAACCTTAATTTTACCGGGAAGTCCCATTAAAATCTTTTTTTCGAGGGAGACCTGGCCAAGATAGCATATATATTTCAGAGTAAACTTTTTTTTAAATGGAGCACATTGAAACAGACAGAGGACAACAGATACATAGTCCAGTTTAGGAATAGGAATTGCACTCTTCAGTTACACAGTTTTTTTTTTCCAGAGTTTTGAACTCTCCCAAGGAGACAAGATCATTTAGTTGTAGTGTGTTCTGATGGTTATTCCATGACCAGGGCGCAAAATCTTTACTGCTCCAATTAAAATTAGCCTAGAAAGCATTGTTAAGGGGATATGCTTCTATCAGATGTGATAGTTGTGTTACCAAAACACCTCAGGAGTTGAGGACGATCAGCCAGCACATCCTAGTCAATTCACTGCACACACACACACACACACACACACACACACACACACACACACACACTTCCCTTGTATGTAGTTAGTGTTACACACATTATAAACTAATATGTCACTGCCATAATCATAACAACCAAAGCACAGCCATGGCTACAGCCACAATCACAGCGACAGCAACTGCCAAAGCTCTGTTATCACATAACTACAGTCATCATCATCGATCTTGATCAGCCTCGGCACCAGTTGCTGAGAGAGTTAGCTAAACTAGCTCAGCTAGTTGTCTATCCAACTGCAAAGGTACAGATTAGCTGAAGGTGCGCCCACTCGCATCTACTAAATAATTCATATATACTAAATCATAGTACAGCTCAGCCGTGGTCCATGGATCAGAGTTCCCTCTGGACAAAGAAATTCAGGAAAAAACCCAACTGTGATCACTGGGGGACATTTTAAAGATCAAAGGATTAAGTGTTGAATTGGGAAAATAATCTGCCAATTAATCAACAATGAAGAAAGAAAAAAGAAATATTAGTACAAAAATGCCAAACGTAAATGTATGAGGTAATATAAAAACAGTAGATAGGTCTAATATAACATTATTTGTACTGTTTAGGTTTGTTTTTTAATTGCAAAACATCCTCTTTTAACAATTCTTTAAAGAAACAGTTTGACATTTTGGGACATACACTTTGAGGTTATCACTTTCTTGACTTTCTTCTTCTTGTTATATCAATATCATTCTCATGTCTGTGCGCTAAATATGGAGCTGGAGCCAGAATCCCTTAAGCTTAGCATGGGAAACAGTTTGAAACAGCTAGTCTGTAAAACTGACAATTCACCATTTTACGGGCCTACAGCCACCTGCAGTTGCCACAAACATGATATAATGTGTTAATTTGCGGGCATGCTGGTATGCATACTTGTTTAATATTATTAATTGTACCTTTGGACAGAGCTAGGCTAGCTGTTTCCCCTGTTTCCAGTGTCTTTGCTAAACTAAGCTGAGCTAACCAGCTGCTGGCTGCAACTCTTTATTTAATGGACAGATGTGACAGTAGTATCCATCTTCTTATCTTACTCTTCACAAAAAAGTAAATTATTTACCAAAATGTTGAGCTATTGCTTAAAAATTGAATTTGTCAAAATGTTTTTCTATATATTGTGTTTATGTAAAATATTAATCAGATTTGTTTAAACTCCTAAATATCAATTTCTCTACCAGCCTCAGAAATCCTGAATCCTGGTTGTTCTCAGGATCGTGAAACTAGAAGTGCATGGGCGTGTCACACTTTTTACTACAGTGGTTAAAAATAATTCTATATCTAATGATATCCTTTAACTCAAAGTCTCCCATTCATTCTTTCCATCACAGCCTCTTAAGTGCTGTCAATCAATGTAACAACTGTAGATAATTTGCATTAAAAGGACTCACAAAAGCCAACAAACTGCCCGATCAATGGCCACGCTTTGAGTGAAAAAGTCGTTTCAAATAATCGTTTTCACAGTGGGATTGATCCCATTTCCTGTTAAGAGTAAATTGGAGATGATGTGCAGGTTTGTCGCTGGATATTGCTCTCAATAACAGGTTACTGCAAGTACTTGGCCTCTGACAGACGAGCTTTCGATTTTTTGCAGCTCTCAGTGTAAAAACAGTGTCCTAATATAATGTCCTTCCAGTGGAGATGCATTCACATTTCTCTGTCTTTGAAATTGCGTGTTTGTCCTGACATTTTCAGCCACACACACACACACACACACACACACACACACACACACACACACACACACACACACAGTCTCTCCCCCTCTTGCTCTCTGTGCATGATTAAATCAACCTGATCCTCGATTATCAAAACACTAACATTTCCATAACAGCTCTGATACATTTTTATTAAACTGTAGCAGTACAATCACTGAATTATTCAATTTCAAGACACATTTAAAAGTGCTTTTTAAAAGTGAAGTTTTGTTCTGAATAAATAAGAGTTTCCATTTTCTGACAACAACACAACAACAAACAACAGTAAAGCTACAAATGTGCTCATCACGAATACAAAAAATGCTGAGGTTTTACTGTAATGCTGCTACAACACTCCCTTTTTCTTCTTTTTTTGAGAGCTCATATTACAGCATTATAATTAAAATACCTTGTATGAGTGGGTCAACAAAAGGAAAAAAATCCTGACCTGATGCAATCTCTTGTGTCCCATCAAAAAGAGGAAAAAATAAAACAAAAGTGGTCTTCTTCACTGCATCATAAAAAACAAAATAAAAAAAAACTCCATGTTGGCGTGGAGGCGGGACATTTCTCCAACTGCCACAGTCCGCTGTCTTTAAAAGACAAGTTTAGCTCAGCAGTCTCACAGCGAAGAATCCGACTGACGATTGAAAACAGCGAGGTCCCTGCTGCCTGGAGATTAGAGTCCCAAACTGAGCAGATTACTGAAAGTACGTCCCAAAGGATTTTTTTTCACAACATCAGAGTGGTGACGCTACAAAAGTAGACGCAGGAGGTCAGCGGCTGATGGGAAGCGTTGGTAAAGAGATGGATGGATGGGTCAAGTGGCCCGGGGCAGCGAGGACAGAGAAAGGGTGTGCTGCACGAAGAAGACAAGAGAATCACCATGAGTTTGGGGAACAATGTGAGCATATTACTGAAATAGAGTTCAAGAACATGCAGTTAAACTCCCAAAGCATCCAAATGACATTGTTTTGGGCCTTCAACATTTCTCACAATGTTTAGCCATTTGTATTTATTATTAAGTACAAAATCACAAATCAAACATTTGCCTCAAAAGGCTTTAAAATCTGTATAACATACGACACCCTCTATCCTTAGACTCTCGATTTGGATCAGGAGAACTCCCCCAACAAAACCCTTTAACAGGAAAACAAGGGGAAAACTCTCAGGAGGAGCAACAGAGGAGGGATCCTTCTCTTAAAATCCTTTACATTGCCCTGCATCTTTGAATGTTTGCACTTGAGTGCACATGAAATGTTATTGCGAAAAGTTTGATTTAGAGCTGGGACATACTGTAGCTGTTTTTTGTGTCTAGGCTATTAAGCATTTTTAATATATTTAAATACTTATATTGCGAACATTTACAATTTTTTTATTGTTGAGTTTTTTTTCTTACCCTTATTTATACCATTATTTCTGAATATTGTTGTTTAAAGCACACCAGCCTTTTCATTTCATCCACCCTGCATTTCATTTTTACTACTATTGTCTGTGCTGGAGTATTCAGATCCTTTATTAAAAGTAGCAGTACTGCAATATGAAATACTTAATTACAAGAAGTCCTGCATTTCAGATATTACTTACGTAAAAGGACATCATTGTTATTACAAATTGTACTTAAAGTACTAATGATGCAGAAAAATTGCCCCTGTGTGGAGTTAGCAGAATAAACTTGCATGAAATTGAAGTATAAACTAGGATGAAGTAGAAATACTAGTAAAGACAAAGTAAAAGTACAATAACCTCAAATTTCTACTGCAGTACCTGAGGTAATGTACTTACAACATTACTTACAACTTGACTTCATTCTACCACTGCATAGGCTATTGTATGACATAACAAACTAAACCTTTTATTAATTCAATATAGAAAGACCCGGAGAGACGGCTGATTATGAAGTTAAATATTGGGAAATAGATAATTAAATATACTATATATTTAAGCATCAGCTTTTAAAACAGTGTAAAAATATAATTTTTATGTGTGTCAGTCAACAAAAATCCCTAACAGTAAGACCTGACACTCACTGTCCAGGTATCCGTGCAGGGCCAGTAGATGGGGTCGGTCCGGGCTGCTGAACGGTGAATAGTGGATATCGTCTGGCAGCGATGGAGGCATCCTGGACAGCGGAGCGCTCTGAGAGAAGCTGCTCTGAGGCGGCTGCTTTTTGTGTCGCGCACGGCAGTTTTGAAACCAAACCTGGGAAATATTACAGATGATGTGAACAGGCAGCAATCAGGGGAAAATGAACTCTACAACAAGAAAATCAAGGTTTGAGTTGTTAAGTTTTCCTGTACTTAATGTGCCTCAAAATCTCCTATTAGCTTCAAATATTGCACAATTTAGGTTATTCCTTTTTCTGAAGACTATTTAAATTGAAGATTTAGTTGACGTTCATTCATTTGTTCTGTTTCTCGTTTCAGTTCAGTTCACTTCTTGCTTTTTTTGTTGTCCCGCTTGTTTGATTGTTTGCTCCACTTGTGACTTGTTAATCACCTCTCTTGTGTGTATATCTTGTCAGTGTGTTCCTTGTCATTTTGGCGGATCATCTTCGTTGTCTGATCAAGTGAACCAGCCCTTCCTTCGGGTTTCCTGTATGTTTGCATTACCTGTTAGCTTCTTTCTTGTACCTCTATGTATTTGGATTATTGCCTGCTCTCCTGTGGATTTGTTTGCTTTTTGGACTTCTAACCTGTTTTAGATCTCTGCCTGCCTTTTCACACCACATAAGCTTATTCACCTTTTATTTTGTCCTCAATAAAGAGTAATACTGAACGCTCTGCCTGGGTCTGATGTGTTTGGGTCCAAATCCAAAGTTTCCCATGTCTACGTTTGGCTATGTGTGGCGAGACGCAACCGAAACGTTGCTTAGATCACTATGCCAACATAGGATGAGGGGCTATAGCCAAATGTGACATTTAATTTTGTTCATAAGGACCAGGGCTATTGATGCGTTGATTGACAGCAAGACCAATAAGTTCATGTGCAAACCTCACTTAATCACAGGGCGAGACGCCGGCATTCGTAACTGCTAATGGTCTTGCTAAAATAATTTAATTGGTCAGGGTTTCATCAGAGTGTTTAAAATCAGTATTTCCCAACAAGAGGGTCTGGACCCCCTTAAATCTTTTGAATACCTCATCCACCTCATACCTTACCTCATCTGAAAATCCATTAAATCAGATCATTTCAGAAGGAAAACCAGTCCAAAGGTAGACAACGCTTCATTTCAAGGGGTCACAAGCAAGGAAAACTCATCAAACTCAAAAAACCAAAATAATGTGAAAATCAACCAAAAGAAGTCTTGTATCTTCATCAGCCTTAAAAAACCTAATGTGAGAATCAGATACTGATATATTCCAGCAAAACGCTCATATGTAGCATTGTGCAGATGAGTGGCTCCGTAGCTTTATTTCTGGATTCAGATGTCTTTAAAACAAAGCAGTTTCTAAAAGTACTGCAGTTTGTGACCCCTCATCACAAGTTGCATATCTACAGACTGTTAGTTCAACCAAAGGGGGATTTCCCCTTTTCAAATAGTTTAATTTGAACAATTTTTAGAGGCCTGGTGAGATAAATGAATCCACATCCCTTTAAAAGGATCTCAACTCCCAGGTGGGAACCACTGGTCTAATGAAAGTGTAACCTTATGTTTTATCATTTCCTACCTGAATGACTCGCCTGCTCAGTCCCGTCATTTCGGCCAGTTTCTGAAGAGTCTGAGCATCAGGGTTGTTGTCCTGTGCGAACTGAGACTGCATCACCTGCGAGGACACACTGCCTTCAGTCACGAACCCACACACATATAAAGGACGGTTTGAAACACCACTACACCTAAACACACAAGCACGTCAGAGCAGAATCTACCTGCAGTTGCTCAGCAGTGAACGATGTCCGCGCCCTCTTGGCTGGTTTTGGTTGGCCATCCTGATCAGAGGGGAGCGCTCCTTCCAGAGTCAGTCCTGTACCTTTAAGAGAGCATAATCACAACAGGTCTCACTGACACTTCAGCCATTATATTGTGAAGTTTTAAAAAACAACATAGTTATACGTTTACAAGCCAATTTTGTTACAGCTCAATTCTGTGTCATGAAACATTTGTCCAAACAGTCGGTGGAACATAATTAAAATGTTTTCTTGCCATTGACCACACAGTTCAGACTATTTATACCTCACTGACAGCACAGCAGAGAGTCTTCCAGTAGAGCAGTCATTATCAGTGTGTAAAAAATTGGAAATAACAAGGTTAATAGGAATGTTTTACTTCTATTTGGATCATGAACTGAGGCTAAAATATTCCTTCACGAATTTAGTTTCTACCTCTCTCCCACCAGCTTATTGTCAACTGTGATTAGCTTGGTCAGAACTTCCAAGTTCATTTAACCTAACCTTACAGCAGGTCAATCATTTATTCTCAGGTTGGGTGGTCAACCACTGTTCAAACAAAGCTCAAATAATGGTATTTCATGTTGACAATAAAACACTAGAGAATCTAGAATTGTATGTTTTTATGTAATGGTACATCTTTACGTGCCCGTAAAAAAGGGCTGGACTGCGTCTATATATCCAGTGTCGAGGAAAAAAACAGCTTTGTAGGAAACTTAAAAGGAGTGTTGGAAACTTTAGAGCTCAAATGGTGATCAAGAGTTTCCTGAATATTTTGTTCCACTTCTCACTGAGGCCCTGACTCTTGCATATTTTTGCTGATGATCATTAGAGATACATCTTTGATAATGTCTGTTACCGTTTTCAGCAGCCCTGCGAAGGTTCTCCAGCATGATGTCATAGTGGCTGCGGCAGAGTACCCTCCCCTCCACCAGGCCGAACTCCTCCCCAGTCGACAGCTGCCTCTTACAGGAGAAACAGGCAAAACAGGCCAGGTGGTAAACGCTCCCCCGAGCCCGCCGCACCCAGTCACTGGCGTACACCTGCCGGCCACACTGGGCGCACTTAGTGCCGAACCTACTGTGAGGGAGAAGAAAACGGGCAGGTGAAGGTTTGCCTGCAGGTTACAGAGCTCAGTTAAATGTTCTGATGTTGTTGCTTTGCTTTGCAGAATCTTGTGAGTAGCTGCCAACCAAACCCTTTGCAATATCTGTTTGTTTTTTTCCGTCATATTACAGCTGCACATCACACTGAGGCTGCTGTTACATTTCATTTAAAGTACATTTACAGTGAAACTAACAAAGCAGTTTGAATCAGAACACCACAAAATATGCCCTCCCATAACATTTTGCATAATATCTGTGCAGAGGAGTGTTATTGTTGATCTGTTGTGGCAGGAAGCTTTTGGACAGGAGTCAGACCTCCCGTCTTCATCTCCAAGAACAAAATACTGAAGTTAGTTCAGCTGCAGTTTTTGAACCAGCATGTCCGAGTACTGCTTCACCTGTATAATGTCACTGCAAAGGGCGGGGAGGCTTTTCATGTCTGTGCCCGGGGGCCAACTGTCACATCATCCCTCCATGCCACTTCTTAATTAATGATGGAAAAATGATGAGCACTTTACTGCTTTATCTTTGATTGATGTTTATTTCCAGAGCATTATTGCAGAATATTATGACACATACATTCAAAGCTCCACCAGTCCGTATGTAGCCTGGGAGGTAAAACAGCGCAAAACTTGTTTTTGTGGTCAGACCTCTGCACTGTAACTAAAGGTGACCTTGATGAGCGCATCAACATTTTTGTCAACTCTCACCTGGACTTTGGTAGCTGCTAGAGTAAGAAGACACAGTTCAGAGCTATTTTGGTGAGTAGATGAAACGATAAATAGATTAGAGTAATTTCCTTCACTGTGGAGGTGACAAAACTGGAATTTTAAAACAGTGACTGTAAGGTTTTCCTGCAGTACGCCAGAGGGAATGATGTCCTGCCTGGGCAACAAGGTTTTTGTGTCTGGGTTAGTTTGAGGTAATTTGATCAAAGTCAACTTCACTAAGGAATCATGTGAGCCCAATGTCAACTAAAATAATAAAGGGCCTAAAACTAGATTTAGATGCTGTGTTCCTCTAAGAGCCATGGCCATGACATTTGCCAATAATTTAACTTTATTCATTTTTTAGCTGACGCTTTTATCCAAACAACTTACAATTGCTATTCATGTCAGAGGACGCACGCCTCTGGAGCAACTAGGGGTTAAGGGTCTTGCTCAGGGACACAATGGATGGGTCAAAGGGGGAATTGAACCTGGGTCTCTCACACCAAAGGAATGTGTCTTATCCATTGCGCCATCACCATCCCCTTATTATGCCCCAATAATGCCATTAATAGTGTAACTTAGCGATGTCAATTGACTTTGGGGCAGGTAGCCCAGTTTGGTAATCCAGCCATTTGTTCATTGATCTGATCTGATTCTCATGCAGCTGTTGTAAAAGTCTCACAAGTGTGAACAGATAAACACAGAATTAATTTCAAAAACAAGGTTTAGCTTTGGTATATTTTGCTGAAAAGATCTTGTGGCTTAAAAGCCCCATTACAGCCCATTATACAGGAAATCTTGATTCCCTTTACTTGGGAGCCAAATTATGTTGATCTTGGAAAGCAAAGATCAATTAGCTGTAAAAACACCTAGAAAAATAAAACAAATTATGTCCAATAATTTATCACCTGGGCCAAATAACATTTAAATCATCCGTCATTGTTCCACCTTCCACCGGAAATTCATTATTTCATTTTTCAGGTTTATCATGAAGGAGGTAGAGAAGCCTCTAAATATCATCTTGCATCATTTCCAAAAATACTTAATTAATTAATTTATATGCAGATTCTGATTGTCTGTGTTTCTTTTTATTAATAAGGGAAACAGGAAGGATGCTTTTCAAATACTGTATCAAAAGCATTAGTTAAGGGATCGTTTACAAGAATTTGGTTGGATTCAATGGGAGAAGAACCAATTTAAATATCGTCAGTATATATTGGGTTGCGCAGACGCAGTTAGACGGCGGTTAAATAAAACAAAAACGCTGTGCTCATATTTTTCATTTGTTTCTTCGAGGCTTTTGTTCATTCATTTATCTGTTTCTCAAATACTGAACAAATGCAAACATGCAGTTACATTATGTGTTATGTGTTAGGTTATAAATAGTTTGCATGCGCATGCTGGCAAACTATTTGTTTATTTTTCAGAATAAACTACATCGACCTGGCTAAAAAAAAGGTGAGTATCGAAATATAAATAAACTTCGAAAAGAAATAAACATTTAAAATTAAACATTTGAATAAATGAATCACTGAACTAATTAAAATAAATAATTAAGTTTACTATTAATTTTTGATAAAAATTAAATTAACTGATGATCTAAAAATAAAAACCTGTAAGACTTGGAGAGATGCTCGCGTTATAAAATAATAACAGCGCAGCATAAAATCAGCACTAGAACAAACTTTATTTTACCTGAAATAATCCAGTTTGCAGTAGATTTCTTTGTTTTTAACGTAGCAGCTGTTGTGTTGGCGCAGAGACGCTCTGCACACTGAGCACTCCAAACATCCCAAATGCCAATTCAGGTTGTTGACCTGTGAAGATTAAAACAAAATACAATCACACTTACAGAATAATGCACGTCTGAGTGTGTGTGACCAATAATCAGTGCAACGAGACTCTCATCCAGATGTTTAATAGCTTGCCATATGTCTTGTGTTCATAAAAGTGAATAAAAAAAATTAATAAAAGATAAATAAAATAATTTGGACTCGTTTTCTGAGCAGAAGAAAAAGTGAAGAAAGAAAGAAGCATGAGGAGAAAATGTCACTAGATAAAGGAAATTGCAATGCATGATTGAAATTACCACATTTACCTGTTTTGCGCTACTTTTGTTAAGATTAAAAAGCCAAAAAGTAGCCTTAGGAATAAAAAATAAAACTAAGAAACGGAGCTTAGATCTTTAAGCTTCTTGGTACCGTTTTATTTTTGTGTGTAAACATTTATAATTTATCCTCGTTATTTCTCACCTTCAGTAGGTATCGGTCATGAATCTCCATACCGCAGCTGGCGCACTGGTTCTTGGCCGCCGGAGGAGAGCAGAGACAGGCGGCCTCCGACGGACTGGACCCACCGGACTCCTTCTTCACCTCCGACTTAGACTGCGCCAAAACACCCCGGTTTAACCCAGAGAGAAGACTGAGTTGCATGTCTTTTGCTGATTTTAGTTTGGTTTTATTTTTAGGAGTGGATATAGCCTACTGAAAAAAATCAGTGTGCGAGTCCGTGAAATATTTCAGTGATGTGGTAGAAACATATAGACGCAGTCCTGAACCTAAACTCCCCAGCCCTCCCCACTAATATCCAACGGTTTTGGTTTCCAGAAACGCTTTATTTCCTCCAGTGATTCTACATTCGCTTTTAACTTAATTGTTCATGCACGCGTGTGATAATTCAAGTTTCATTTACATTTTATAACACAGATTCACCTCAGCCTAAACATGTTGCATTATGTGAACTCCAGTCTTCAACTTAAAAGTGGCTAAATTAAGTTTTGGTGGATTTTCTTTCCACGACATCCCTTATCATAAATGCATATAGCCTTTAGAAACTGTTTTGTGTGATTGAACCTGAGCCAAATCCAGAGTCCTGCGAAGGTTACCCAGCATGCACAAAGTTTAGGAAGAGAGCAAGAAGAGGAACCAAAGAAACCTTACACAGATTGAAAGACAAAGAAATCAAAAGGTTGCAAATCAAACTCATCCAGATGTTTGTGACTCACCATTTTCGGATCTTGAACGGTGCCTATTTGGAGAGAAGATGGAGCTTGCTGCGCATTACGCATCTCTGCCCCAGCCCACACTATATCCGGTCCAAAACAACGAATAACAGTTTCTCCTGCATTTAAACCCTGGCAACAAAAGACATTTTGATGCAATTAGAAGAAAAAAAAACTATATCTGATCGATCATTCTTCTCGTGCGCAATGGTAGGCTGTATGCCCATGCAATCACATGCAGTGAAAAGAAAGCATGGCACTATATCTGCAATTAGCGGCGAATTGAAATGCTTCGCTTCACAAGTGGCAACCGGAGTGTCAATTTCATCTGGCAATCAAAAAAATAAAAAAATAAAAAAAATAAAACGCAAGCGAGCCACCAAGCTAAGAGAGAGAAAAAAGGCGGCGCATCCTAATTTCAATAGCTGTATAATCGAAAATCGAAATATCTCCAAAGTGAAGAGGCTCAATTGGAGATAGGTCTATTCATAAGAGACAATGTGCAGAAACTGCAGCTGATCTTGAGGCATAAAGGAGCTTGATTGTCTCGTTCTCATGATGGACCCATTTAAGTACTTGAGGCTCCCCTGGGTGATTACAGCTGCATTCATAAACTGCCAAAAATCTGCGTTTGGGTGGCAATCCGGAGTCCGTGTTGTCCTTCATTTTGTGGAAATTAACAGGAATGCAAGATTATGTTAATTACCAGCCACGGTATAAATATTAGAGGCAGTGAAATAAGGGATAAGATAAGATAAGAGATGGCCTATGAGAATAAAAAAAAACCCATAATACTTCATACATGGAAAACCTCCCAAAAGCAGCGAAAACATCGTCCAATAAAAGTTTCCCCAGAACATTACAAGCAAAATATCCAAATTATTCCGAGGAACATGGTTTATTAAACAGGCTTTTCTCTTTCTTTGTCTTCAACGCAAGAAAAATAATCCAACTTCATTGACTTTTTGGGACTAGGACTCAAACCAGTGGCACCAGTGAATATGTCCCAGACGACAGACTTACAGGACTGTCGGTTCCGCTGTGGTTTCTTCTCCCCGCCTCGACTCAAAGTTTACACCCAGATCAGTCACACAGGATGTGATGCTGCCCATTGGACCAGCAGACCCGGGTTTGCCCTCCTTTCTGAAGGCTCACGAGAGTATTTAGGGCATGAATTCATTAAAAAGAAGAAGATAATCAGAAGAAATGTGTCTGGAAACACCCACCAATTAACTTTGAGGATTTAGTCTTTTTTTTTAATGATGGATGCAGATCGGAGGCCGGAGTTATTTTGCTGATTGCAGAGTGAAAGTTGAAGTTGTTAAAGATGATATGATGATAGTTATATAGGCTAGTGCTAATGAGCCATCATAAAGAGTTTCTTTTTATTATTTTAAGTACTGTTTTGCTATTTTATCCATTTTCCTTTTCTTCTCTGTTCAGTTTTGATGTGTTTGTATTCAGATGGCTCAAGAAGGGAGCCGAGTCTGTCTTAAAACAACAATCACATGCACATACAGTAAGTACCTGAAAGGGTTATTGGTCCTCCAATAGGTCATGCTGGCTGTGAAGAAATATCTTCTTCAAGTGATCAATGTAACAGATGGGGACAAAATCAACCCTCCTTGTTCTGTGCAAAATACTATGTGAAGTTCTGAAGCTATATGAGGCTTTAACAGAGAAATTAAGTAGGTATGTTAAGTGCAGTCTTTTTTTGACCATGAAATCCCCTTTTTGTTTTTTGTTTTTTATCCTACTGGTGCTCAGCCACTGAAATATAGGAAATGTTGCACTAAACAGACTAACTTTGAACCAAATCCTAAAAAACAAATGTCTAGACAGAATTATAAGAAGTCACGTGGGATAATGCTGAAATGTTCACATCCAAAACACAACAATTACAATAAGTATGTCATTACACTGATGCTGGGCTCGATGCTGCGTGTATTTTAAAACCTTTCATGTTTTCTTAACTTAACTTAAGAATACTCTGATTGGAATAAAACATGCGTCAAAAAAGTGCATTACCTTGTCAAGAGTTCCGAGATTTACATGCAGTCCTACTCCCACATTAGAGATTCAGAATGAATATGCAGAAATTGTGTAAGCTGAATGCTGGACCATGATTGTTGTGATGTGTATGGATGATAAACTTAGACTCGAGTTGAGAGCAGAGAAACAGATTCATGTGCAAACAGCCTTCTAGTGTGAAACTCTGCACAAAAATCATCCTGCACAATGAAAGTCAAACAACAAACTGTGTTCAATAGTTTGTTTGCTGGTTTCATGGGCGCGTTCACTGGATTATCACACTGGTTTAACTGTCAACTGTGTGTTGGGATATTTTTGGACTTGTTGGGGACTTTGATAGTACAATTAATGGACCATGGGACTTCATGAGCTCAGAAGGACAGTATTGTCTGCTGCCTCCTCTTCTCCATATGTACCATGTAGTGCATTAACTGTGCTGTGATTGGTATTGTTTATTTTGGGGTGTCTTTGTTTGGTTAAACTACATTAAATTAAGTAAAACTAAAGTAAACTAAACTAAAACTTTTAATGGTGGCTCTAAATTCATCCATACAACGCTGTCCCGCACGTTTCCACAGTTGTGTTTATTGTGTTCAAATAAATAAAGAAATGTTTTTTGATCTCTTTAATATAGAGTTTATAGCAGCCAAGGGATAGTAGAGATGGAGAGTGACGTGCAACAAATGTCCTCGGCTGGACACAGACAAGGGATATTGAGGTACTGCCATTTCTGCCACCTGCTTCAACAAGTTTAGTCTGAGAAATCACAGCCAACAAAATAATTCCCATGTCTCCCACTGTGTTACAACTGGGACTCTTTATTGGTCTTTCAGGTTTTATCCACAGGAAGTTAAATATAATGTGAACAGGTCATATTAGGCCTTATTAGCAGCAGATTAGAGATGATATTGAACTGACAGCTCTTAGCCAGAGGCACTCAGTGTCTTGAACTCCCAAAACACCAGAGGAGATGAGAATAATATAATATAATAATAATATGGTACAAATCATTATTGTTTTATGGTGCTGATAGCAGCCTTTTTATTCATAAAGGCGTTATTGTCTGACTATAGTCATTTTATGTGTCTGTGTGGTTATTTAATTACCTGATGTTTCTGCTTTATTTGTATGTGAGTTCACCAAAGAAACACGCTGAAATGGCAAGAAAGCAGTGAATCTTAAAGGGATTTTTAGCATTGAGTTAGAGTTGTCGCGATCGAGTCTTTGATATATGAGGAAGGATGAAACAAAGGTTTCATTTCAACAACCCTTTAATAACTTGTTCTTGCTGCGCATTCACAAACAATTCTTTGTTTGTTGTGTTTGATTTAGGTTAGATTCAAGGTCATGTTTCATGTTTTATTGTTCATTAAATGATCATTAAAGGGCCACACTTCTTCAGATTTGATTATTATAAAGCACTTGAGTTGCATTTTTATAGGAAGGGAACCTTTTTTTGCGAGCCTGAATGTGAAGGTCTCCATTTGCAATGTTATGTTCTGAAAAAAGTTTCAGCTCTGAAATAAAATGTTTGCTGTCTATGTGGTTGTGACACATTAATACTGTAACCAAATAACTTACTGTAACTTATCTCTAAACTCAGGAACCTTAGAAACAGCTGTAGAACCAGAGATATGTTTAGACTGTTTTGCTTCTCTCAATCTTTAACAACTAACTTCAATAATTTCTTCATCTAAACCATCAACCTGCCTCTTAGACCCCATCCCGACTAGGCTGCTTAAAGAAGTTTTACTCTTAGTCAGCACTTCTATACTAGATATGATCAATCTATCTCTATCAACAGGCTATGTACCACAGTACTTTAAAGTAGCTGTAATTAGAGCCCAAACTTGATCCGGATGTTTTAGCCAACTATAGACCTATATCTAACCTTCCCTTTCTCTCTAAGATCCTGGAGAAAGCAGTTGCTAAACAGCTGTGTGACTTTCTACAGAGCAATAGTTTATTTGAGGATTTTCAGTCAGGATTTAGAGCTCATCATAGCACAGAGACAGCACTTGTGAAAATTACTAACGACCTCCTTATTGCATCAGACAAAGGACTTGTCTCTGTACAGGTTTTATTAGATCTTAGTGCTGCATTTGATACCATTGACCATCAGATCCTATTGCAGAGACTGGAATATTTCATTGGCATTAAAGGAACCGCTCTAAGCTGGTTTGAGTCCTATTTATCAGATGGATTTCAGTTTGTACATGTTAACGATGAGTCCTCCATGCATGCCAAAGTTAGTCATGGAGTTCCTCAAGGATCTGTCCTCAGACCAATCCTGTTCACTATATATATGCTTCCTTTAGGCAATATTATCAGGAAATATTCCATAAACTTTCATTGTTATGCAGATGATACTCAGTTATATCCATCGATCAAACCAGATGAAACTCATCAGTTAGCTAAACTTCAAATGTGCCTTCAGGATGTTAAAACCTGGATGACCTGTAATTTTCTAATGTTAAACTCAGATAAAACTGAAGTTATTGTTCTGGGGCCTAAGCACCTCCATTATGCATTATCTAAAGATATAGTTTCCCTTGATGGCATCGCCTTGGCCTCCAGCACCACTGTGAGGAATCTTGGAGTTATCTTTGATCAGGACATGTCGTTTAAGTCTCACATTAAGCAAATTTCAAGGATCGCCTTTTTTCACCTACATAATATTGCGAAAATCAGGAACATCCTGTCTAAAAATGATGCAGGAAAACTAGTCCATGCATTTGTTACTTCTAGGCTGGATTACTGCAATTCCTTATTATCAGGCTGCTCCCTCCCCTCTCTCTCGTTCCATCCCTCTCTTTTTCTCTCTCTCTCTCTCTTGCCGTCTCTCTCGCACTCTCTCTCTCTCTCTCTCTCTCTCTCTCTCTCTCCTTCACCCCCAACCGGTTGAGGCAGATGGCCGCCCACCCTGAGCCATGGTTCTGCTCGAGGTTTCTGCCTCTTAAAAGGAAGTTTTTCCTTGCCTCTATCGCCTAGTGCTTGCTCTTGGTGGGAATTGTTGGGCTTCTGTAAATAACATCACAGAGTACGGTCTAGACCTGCTCTTTTATGAAAAGCGCTGTGAGATAACTGTTGTTGTGATTTGGCGATATATAAATAAAATTGAATTGAATTGAAAATAACTAACAGGATACCATCATGCAAGTTGTAGATACAAGTGCAAATTAAAAAAAATAAATTTAGATTTTGTAATAACTTTTTCTCCAGCTATTTTGAGATTTCTGGTGTGTGTTCACGTCAACTGAAGAGAATAAGGCTGCCTTCTTGATAAGTTGAAATTTTAGCGACTCTTTTCCTTTGTGTTGAAGGTCTCACACTGAAGCTACACATTTAGATTTCTTTCACTATAATCACAGAACTCCCCACAACTATACTATAACAACTATAAAGAGGGGGACCAAAATGACTTAAGGCAAAGGTTTCCATGAAATCGATGACACTTTAATTCTTATTGATCACTTAAAAAGCATCTCTGACAGCAGAACGACATTGTCTCAGTCTCTTTGTATTGTCAGTGTAACGCACTTCAGCGGTTCTGTGCATTAAATGCAATTACCAGATGGAGCGGGGTCAACTGGAAGTGGGTGGGTCAAGATGCAGGAGGACTTACAGGAGGGAAGAGTGTTATTTCACCTCCATTATTGTCGCTTTTTAGTGATGGTGTGCAAAAGTGAAGGTTAAAGACCAGTTTTTGGCCAGTGTAGAGTTGGTTTACTTTTGTGACACACCTGCTACTTATACCTACCAACTCCTTTTTCTGACAGTAATGTTTGAAGAACTACAGATCTAAATAAGCTGTTTGGTTAATTTTAATCCGAAAAATTACAAGTAGCAAATATGTTTTACATACATTACCTCGAATTTTATTGTTGTGAAAGCCTCTAAAACTGCACTTATGTCACCATTTACACCTCAAACCTTACCCCACAGTAAAATCTCTCTAATTTTAGATGAAGCGGTTGTTATGACAGAGCAA